GTCTTTTCTTTTCATGTAGATTACTTTTTTATTTCTCTTTTATGCCTTTGATTTCTTTTATTACACGTATATATTTTTATAAATTCCCTTTCTTGCTTGCTTGCTCTCTTGCTTGTTTTTTTAAAAAGAGGTATATTTATTGTTACTTTCTTAGATCTTCTCTTCTTTCTTTCTTTCTTTCTTTCTTTCTTTCTTTCTTTTTTCTTTCACCTTTTCATATATATATATATATATATATATATATATATATATATATATATGAATAAATATATATAAATGAATATATTTATATATATCATATATATATATATATATATAAAAATATATATTATATATGAATATTTTATATATATATATATTTATATATTTTTCAAATTATATTTTTCCCTTTTTTTTTCCCATTCTTTTTCTTTTTTTTTTTTATAAATTTCCTTTTATTAATTTCCTTCTTTCTTTTTTGGTTTCTATTTTTTTCTTTTTTAGAGCTTGTCTTTCCTTCTTTATTCCTTCTTTCCCTATTTCTTTCTGTGTTTATTTCTTATCTTTTCTTTTTTTCATTCTAAATCTCTCTTCCTCTAATTTTATGATATCTTTTTTTCCTATATTTTTTTTTATTTCTTTGTTCCCTTTTCTTTATTTTCTTCCCTCCGTCCTTCTTTCTTTCTTTCTTTCTTTCTTTCTTTCTTTCTTTCTATTTTCATTCTATACTATTTTCTTCATTTGACTTTATCATTGCGCTTTCTCTTCCAGCGTTTAAATTTTTATTTTCTTTCTTTCTTTCTTTCTTTCTTTCTTTCTTTCTTTCTATAATTATCTGCATTCATTTTTTAGTGTCTTTTTCACTTAATTCCAAACTCTTCCCCTTTTCCTATCTGAAAAATTATTTTTCTTTCTTCATGTTTTTTGTTGGGTTTTACCATTTTATATCTCTCATCGTTTTTTGATGTTTTCTTTTTTCATTTTCTTTTTCATTAATCCTCTTTAGGGATTTTAGTAATTCACATTTTACTTCTGTTTTATGCCCTCGCTTTGTTAGAAATATTTCTTTTAGCTTCCTTTTATCGCCGGCTGATTGTCGAATATTCACCTTTGCCCAAAAACTGACACTGAACGAGAAATTTTATGCTTTCTTCTTAAGCTATCCAGACCGATAAAGATGCACAAAAAAGATAACACAAAAAAGGAGGAAAGACTGAATTATAGGCGACAAAATGACAGTTTTGTTCATCTTAAAACTGTCAAAATGAAATAAAAATTAATCAACGTTAAAATAAATTACAGTTGAACTGCATCAATTCATTCTACGAAATTTAACTAGTTCTACATAATACGAAAGAGAGGTGAATAACTTTTATGAAGATTGTGATGCGCCAATTATATATATATATATATATACATGAAAAAATAAACATTTATTGTGTGCTATATTTATGGGATAAAGTGAACAATATCAGAGATAGAGCGTGTGTAAATATAAAAGTGAACATTGAAGTCAACACTTAGAGGCTTGACAATGTTATTTCATGCTAGACGCAATCGTCAGGCTTGCATATATATATATATATATATATATATATAGATAGATAGATAGATAAAACCTAGTGAGCAAAAAGGAAGAGGTTTCAAAGAAGTATCGTAGGAAAGCTGTCTAAAGAAAGAAAAAAGAAACGATATATATATATATATATATATATATATATATGGATATATATATTTAAATATAAACAATGTATAACAAAAAGTGATGGATAAATGCTTTTAGATGACACAAAAAAGAAAATAAAATTATAGGCGACAAAAAGACGATTTTGTTCATCCTAAGACTTTCAAAAATTACAGTTGAAATTCGTAAGTGTTTACGAGGATTGTGCTGCACCAATCTTAAAAGTTGTGAAAGTTTTCCTGAATTAAAAATCAACATTCATGTATTTGGGCAAATTTAAAACTATTTGTGATAAGTTAATTAAGACTAATTTCAGCGCTATTGTTGTAATTGGTCACAATGTTTTGAGCGTTCTAATATGCGTTCTTCTACGAAACAGAGGAAGGCCGGTGAGTATATCGGTATGAGTTGATTTGATTATTTAAAGAATATTCCTTCCAAACATTAAGGCATAAAAAATCCTATCTTTCGCAAAGGTATATGCACGTAAGTGAATATAACGAACCTCAACTGGAATTGGAACTTGGTTCTCTGATTTTCAATTCCGAGCAGTTATTCATTCTTCCATTCGCACAACCAAACTTACAGCACCTGGTGTTCCCAAGTCTCGATGTTTCTTAACCTCGGTGACCGTACGTGAGCCGGTGTTTCAACATGATATGGCCGTAAATCGTGTGGGTGAATTTTCATTATCCCATTTAATAATGGGATGTATATTTGCGCTTGTGACTCTTTCAACCTACGAATATGTTTGTCTGTATATTTATTTAATTCATTATTAATAAAACGGGCAGGTAGTTAAAACGTTTGCATTCTGACCATGAGAATATATTTCGAATCTCGCCATGGTCGATTCGGAAGGTAGGAGCCTTCCTGATGTTATCGGGCAGCAGGGGTCGATCCCTTTGTGAATCTCTGGAAGTGTTTCGTAAACCATACCATCCAAGCCTTGTGAAGTGTCTGCAAAAAACCTGTAAAAGATACTCAAGCCTTGTGAGTGAAATTGGATAGACGGAACCCTTGATGCCTTCGATAGCTGTGCTAGCACAAAGTCACAAGTCATCGTGGCCGAGGTTTTTTGAGCCTTCTGGCGTCTTGTTCAAATTGTTCTCACCTTTTTAACACTTTCCCAGAAATATCATCTAAGCATAACTCAGCATAGTTGCAGTAATAAAAGAATAAGGTGGGCTTTGTAGGGTGTTGAATAAATACCCATGCGCCCTAAATGAGCGTCTGCAAAGAGGATTGGATAGCCGCCTTATTAGACGTGCATCCTCGAACATATAGTATATATATATATATATATATATATATATATTATTGACCTGTGTGTGTGTGTGTGTGTGTGTGTGTGAAAAGTGTGTGTATATAAATATAAATAAATATATATATGTATAATTATTTATATATTATATGCATAGTACCTTTATTAAAAGCGCTCAATATCAGAGAGAGCCAACATATTTGGTTGGATAGATGTGAGTTTGTGACCCTGGGTTTTACGCTTTAGCGATCGTCAGACAAACTCAATATATATATATATATATTAACAGAACACTGCCAAAGGTCAATAAAAGAACAATGTGTATTAATTACCTTCGAACTGAATATATCAAATGTAGCCTAAAGCATATCGGCTATGAAAATGGAATTGGCGAATCGAGTTCATGATCTAGAGACAGAATTTTCCGTTTCTTTATTCCGTTCGCATAAAGCATAAGTTGTTTTCTTCTCTATCCAGCTGCGAGGTAAAAAAAACAAGGTAGGCTACGCTGCCTAGCCTTGAGTGGAAGAAAATCTGAATTCAGACCCAGTTAAGACAATATTAAGCACAACAACAATCACAAGATGACACGACAACTCACAGATAATAAAGAATATATATATATATATATATATATATATATATATACCTCTCGAGGCGGTGTAATCGTTAGCAAGCTTGTCTTGCCAGAACAATCTTCACTGGGTGACCCATACTTTCGGCCTTGTGCCATATCTAAGATTGAAAAATCACTATATATATATATATATATATATATATATATTCGCACATATACTAACAACGAAGCCTTTCAAAATGCTGAATGAATTAACTGAAATCAGTTAAAAAAGAATCACGACGAGCCGTTTTCACAAATAATATATATATATATATAAATCCTGACGTGCCTTAACCAATCGAGCCACAGAGTTCGATTGGTAAGGTCGATCTTACTGCTTTTAAACTTCAATCTTCCATGAATCTGCTCAAAGCGTATCCAAATGTAAACAAATGACGTCACACATTATGAAATGGACAAAGTCTGACAATTATTTTCAGGCGTGTTTTACTTTATACCTTCTTTTTATAGATACAAATATTTAAGTAAATGCGCTGTTTTATAATAAACAGTATTAATAACAATTACCGGCCTGAATGTCCGAGAAATTTTCAAAGAAAATGTTCGTTTTCCAGCAGGAATCGAACCTGCATCCTATCCGGAACTGTCATTAGCCTGAATGACCACCGATCGAAAGACTCTTCAAATCGTTCGAATGGCACGGACGATTTTACTTTTATGTTTCAATCTTCATTTGTCTCTCACGTATATTCATTCTGCTTCTTTTCGTATCTAAATGTATACGATTTGATTCCGACCTATAAAGATTGAAGTTTTTCCAATAAAAAACCTTCCACCGAAAAGATTCTCCGTAGCTATATTGTTTGGACAAAAAGGCTAAATCCGTTCTCTATAGGACACGGGTTCGATACACACACAAATATATATATATATATATTTTACCCAAACAAGTTTTTCTTTAATTATTAACTCTATTTACATTCGGACCATTGTCTTCGCCATTTTTGTTGTTATCACAACGTTTCGGCCGTTGTGCTCTCCGGCCTACATCAAGCGTATACCGATCAGGCTAAACTACCGGGAATTCCGAATTGAACCCTTTATTTAATTATGTTCCACTGATTATGTGTAGGGATATCTCGTTTAGTTCTGAGTTCTAGTTCACCTCGTTTCAAGTGAATCAATTACTCACTGCCCGTCCCAAAGATTGAACTCATAATTAATATTCGCCAAATTTGCATAGGAATGCTTTTAAGTCTTCAAGTTCTTGCACTATGTAAATAATGATATCTCCCCATATCAAAAAATCAGATAGAAAGATCTATTAAATTAATGCGACAAGTTTTGTTTTATATTTTATTGTATTTTTTCAAATAAGATTTTGTACATCGGACAAGGATTGAAATAAAAAAAGAAAATTAACTAATGATGTTATACAGACATGACTGCTTGCTACCTGGACATACATCATTTAACACACACCATATGGAAATATGTTTTTTCGCATTCTGCTCATATCTATCTATCTATCTATCTATCTTGGTAGATTTCATTTACCTATGGAGTATACTTACTGAACTTAACTATTGTTTTCGATTCTCATACTTGTGGCTTGATACCAAATCTAATCAAAATTTTATAACTGTTTCTCTCTTTCACTCTCCGTGTCTCTCTGTTTCTCCCTCTCTTCCACCCTCTCTCACTCTCTCGGGATGATAGCGATAAAAAACATTCAACGAAGTGATAAACTTTCTATTTGCCAAAGTTTCTATTTGTTTTAATTATATATATATATATATATATATATATATATATATATATATATATATATTGTAGTGTAAACCGGATATAAGAGACCCGGATATAAGAGAAACCCGGATATAAGAGAGATTTTCTGGTCCCAAATTAGAGCCTGGGTTAATGTATAAAAATTTAAAAACCGGATATAAGAGACTTCTCCCGTCCTGACAACTCTTTATATCCGGGTTACACTATATATATATATATATATATATATATATATATATATATATATATATATATACACAAACACAGAGGAATTCCATAAACATTCGTGTGGCTAATGTGTATTTAAAAGATATACATTAATCAAAAAGCCATTAATACACAATATAGATATCTATCTATCTATCTATCTATCTATCTATCTATCTATCTATCTCTGTCTTTTCATACCTATCTATCTAACTATCATTCTGTTAGCATCTATCACATATATATATATATCTTTCTATCTATTTCGGTTCATATCTATCTATCTATCTATCTATCTATCTATCTATCTATCTGGGTATCTATCTATCTGGGTATCTATCTATCTATCTATCTATCTATCTATCTATCTATCTATCTATCTATCTATCTATCTATCTATCTATCAGTCTGTTCATTTGTTAATTATCTATCTATCTATCTATCTATCTATCTATCTATCTATTATTTCACTGAGATAATTCTCCCTCAAAGCCCTTCTCTTTGTCTCCTCGTTTTCCCAATATTTTTTTTTACCCCCACCTCTTCTTAATCTCTGATTTTTTTTCTTTACCCCCACTTTTTTTTACACTAGTTTGATACCCAACTACTGAATGTGGCTTCTGCTATCCACACGCCCCCGCCTGTATACGTGTAAGTAGGCGTGCGCATGTGCGTGTCTTCCTCCTTCGTATACGACCGCCAATGTTGGGCTTTGTGTGCTTATTTTTCCGTGTTGCTGTTTAGGTCACATCACGTCAGCGCCCCTCCCTTAAAAAAGCAAAAAAATAAAAAAGCAAAAATCAACTTGACGTCTGGGGTGGGCTGAGAGAGATTGCTACAGAGACATAAACGGGGACAAACTAAAGAAAGAAAAATAAACAAACAAATAATAGAAATAAAAAGCATAAACTCCTAATAAACAAATTAAAAAAAGAAAATAAAAAAAAATGTCTGCCGAGTACTCAGATTGGCGAAGTTTAGAGGGCGAATGGCGGGCCATGTCACTTAGAAGGACCTTTACCCCCACACCGCTCCGTTTTCTTTTCTTTTCTTTTCATTTTCTTTCTTTTTTTTCTTTTTTTTTTGTTCATTTTTGGTGTTTTTCTTTTCGTTATAGCCCCCTTCTCCCCCTAAAACCGCCTCTTGTCCCTGACTTAGTAATTGTCAAAGGCCCATTGGTCTGTTCAGTGCGTTGGTCTGACACCTTCATTTCTGGTGGAGAAAGGAATGAAGAAAAAAAAAATCTAAAGAAAATGGCAAAGAAGGGAGTAAGGAGAATAAGAATGGAGTTAGCAGTACAAGAAAATAAAAGAGTACCAACTCCAAGAGAAGAAAATTAGAAGGACACACACTCAAACAAGCAGACGCACATATATTTTTTTTAAATTTACTACATTTAAATAGGAATCGTGCTCAATATCAGAGATAGAGCGCATATATATATATATATATATATATATATATATATATTAATATCAGATATATATATATATATATATATATATATATACATATATATATATGTGTGTGTGGGGGTGCGCGCACAAATATATAGAAAAATAGGAAAGAACACATTAGGTAAATAATCCGGAGTTCCTAGTATTTTTGTTTTTATTTTTAAAAAACAATCTTCCATACATAAGTAGAACTTAAATTATAATTATTTATTTTTTTTTATGATTCCTTCAATGTTGAATTTTATATGTTCTAATATTAATTATGTTTAATGAATATGTCCTGATGATGGTCTAAAATAGATTTAAAACGTTGATTTATATTAACATTAATACAGCATAATTGCATATTAAGATTTTTGTTTGTTTTTTTTGAAATATTTTCTTTTTTTTCATATATATATATATATATATATATATATATATATATATATATATATATTTAACTGTGTCTTGTCAATAATTTTATACATGTTTCATTATAGACAACAGACGAATTACTACGGTTAAGATTTTATTTAATTTTTCTTGTGTTCGAACAAGTACTTTCTTTTTTAAACACAGTGTGTGTAGAAACTGTCCAAATGTTCTGTAATCTCGAGCGCTTTCGGCTATACTTTTAAACATAAGCAAGGATGATTTTATTTTTTGCTTTTTAATTGGGTTATGAGTTGTGTATATGTTTTTTGTTGTTATAGGGATGTTTTACATTCTGAAAACACCACATTGTGGTTATGATCGTAGTTAATGTTATTAATTATTGTTGGCTTTTTTATTATTATTAAGGCTTCCATTACTTTTAATCTTTTTTACATGTGGATGAGGTTATTATCTTTGTATTTTCTACTTGTATGTTTCGAATGGAGTCTGGTAAGTTTGCGCGTGTGTTTAAATAGATGCTAATAGTGCTGTGGTCAGATAGAACGTAAGAAGTCAAAATATGCATGTAGTCGTGTGACTGATGTAATAATTTATGACTTCGGCTTGGTCGTGAATTTTCTTAAACAATCACAATGGTAAAATAAAAACATTGAACTCAATATTCGTTCGTTGAAATTCTGATTTTGCTGGTGTGTTGTTATGTTTGAGGATAAAGTTAGGTGTTTTAAATTTTTTGTTGTAGATAAATCATTTGATATATATATAAATTTGAAGAAATATAGTTTTAAGGTGTGCTATATTTAAGGGATAAAGTGTTCAATATCAGAAATTGAGCGTATGTAAATATAAATAAATAAGTGAACATTGAAGTCAACACTCAGAGGTGACAGGCTATTTCATGCTAGGCGCAATCGTCAGGCCGGCTTTTGTTTTTCGCTTGATATTTCGTCTTGTATTAAAAAAAAAAGGCATATTTTTTTATGTGACCTCGCTTGCTATAATTGTTGCACATGATGTAACCGCAGACTACTTCAAACTTTCAACTTTCTGAAGTATACAAGAAGATAGATAAAGACATTCTAACAGGCACTACAATGGTTCTTGAAGATGATTGAGATGGTTGAAACTATTTGAAATAACAATAGCACCAACACGAATCCACAATTTTTATCTTAATAGCGTGAATGCATATCATCATCTCGTTAGAAAATTAATTTGAATATATATACGTGTGCATTTGTGTGTGTGTATGTCTACTTCAACGTGTATACATAAATCCAAAGATACATTATTCAGATAGATAGATAGATAGATAGATAGATAGATAGATAGATAGAGACTGAAATAGATAGATATTGAAGAGGCAAAAATAGATAGATAGATAGATAGATAGATAGATAGATAGGAGACGTGCCTCTTCATTTCCCCGAAACTGCAACGTATACTGGGGAGTGGAGCTAAAAACATCGTTGGATAGATCAAATTAACTGCTAAGAAAAAAAAAAAAAAAAAAAAAAGACCCCTTTTCTTTTCCCGACGTAGTCACCACCATTAGCAATGCATTTTCGACAGCGATCAATAAGATTCTGCATGACGCACTCGTAATATAAAATATGTGTACCAGTGAGAGGCGACCCACTTTTTCAAAGGAGTTATGATGAAACGCATTGCCTACCAGTGAACGACCCACTTTTGTGCAAATATGGCTGTCGCCTCTGCTGAAAAAGCGCTTAACTAAGATCGCATCCAAGTTTTGTCTTTTCTAGTCGATATATCCCATTCTTGATTCTATGGAATTTGTTTTCACACACACGCGCGCATGCGTGTGCGCACAGACACTCACGCTCGCAAACATACATAAACGCACACTCACATACATACACACACATACATACTTCTATTAGAGCACGCCACACACATTCACGCAAGCCCATATATATATATATATATATATATATATATATATATATTATTATTATTATTATTATATATATATATATATATATATATATATATATATGTTGAAACAAATAAGATTTTTTAAAATTTTGATTTTTTTGCTATATTTTTCAAGACTCCAGGATTCATAGACGAATCTTCCCGTTAATTGTTCAGATTTGAATTTCATCAACTGATTTCCGAAATTCATATTTTTTTTGTAGTTATTCATATATATATATAAATATATATATATATATATATATATATATATATATATATATATTAATCACCATACAAATATTATCACACTCTAGCACGAATCTGAGCTTCATGCACTAGGCAATCTCCGTAAAAGTGTCATATGACTTCTGCACCCGAAGATTGCGTCATGCATGGTATTTAGACACGTCCTAGAGGTGGCAGTTAGTATATATATCTATTAATAAGTATATATATTTGCTCTGTTTCATTTCATTGCGCACTGTTTCTCTATCACCTGCACTATATATCCATACCTATTATTTATTTTCTCTCTATATTTATATATCTATCTATATATATATAGACATTAAGTTAAC